ACATTATTTTACTTTGCACACAGAAACAAAATTATTTCACAAAAACCAAAAACTACCAGGGTCAAAATTATTAGCCCCCTTAAGAATTTACGTTTTTATTGAGCCAAAACATAAACCACTGTTGTGCAATCATGTACTTTCACTTTCGAGTGCTCACAGCATGTAATCAATCAATTAATTAAGTTAAAACAAAGGATTGTCCTACACTTTACACACAGTATAAAAACCTTGTTAAGCGTTTGAGCTGTCACTTGAGAAGGCATCATGGCAAAAACAAAATAATTCAGTTTAGACTTGAGAAAAAGAATTGTTGATGCTCAAAAAGCAGGAGAAGGATATAAAAATGTATCATAGCATTTCCAAGTATCAAGAAGTGGAGTGAGAAGTATCTTCAAGAAATTCAAGGAGAGTCACACAGCACAGAACAAGTCTGGGAGAGGTAGGAAGCGAAAAATTTCAAAGAAAGAAAGAAAGAAAACTGGTGGGAGATGTGTCTAAACAACCTAGAACAACCACCAAAACAGAAGTTGGTCACTTAGCCAAGTCAGGAATTGTGGTGTCAATAAGACAGTCTCTAGAGCCCTGAACAGAAATGGACTGCGAGGATGCAGAACATACAGCGCTCCTGGTGAGGAGCTGCCTCCAGGAAACCAAAGTGAATGTTATTGACTGGCCTGCACAAAGCCCTGACTTAAATCCCATTGAAAATCTGTGGGCTGCACTGAAGACCAGGGTCCATGCTACTAGACCATCAAATCTGGAGGAGCTTGAAAGATATGCCAAAGAGAAATGGGCTGGGATTCCGCAGGAGATGTGCCAGAGCATTGTTACAAACTACAGTAAATGACTACATGCTGTTATCCAGCAAAAAGGACTCACAATTGACTATTAGCCTCAGGGGGGCTTATAATTTTGACCCTGGTAGTTTTTGGGTTTTGTGAAATAATTTTGTTTCTGTGTGCAAAGTAAAATAATGTAAGGATCCAAAATAAAACAAGGATGTTTGGAAAAGCTGTGTAAAAAAATCATTAATCTGTTGAACAGCAATTCAGAAATTTTGGAGAAAAACTCAAAATTTCAGAGGGGGGCTAATAATTTTGGCCTCAACTGTATGTGAGCAATGTATCAACAGATTTTATAAAAAAAAACAAGTTGAGTTGAGGTGAGAGCAGTAAAATCACTGCTAAGGACAGTAGTTCGAGAGGTAGAGCAGTTGTCCAATAACTGGAAGGTTGGTGGTTCAGTTCCCCCCTGTCCCTAGTCTATCCGTAGTGTCCTTGGGAAAGACACTTAACCCACCTTGCTCCCAGTGTGTGTCCAATGGTGTATGATTGTGAGTGTTATGTGGTGGTTGTCGGAGAGGTCATAGGCACAAACTGGCAGCCACATTTCCAAGGTGTGACTGTGTGAGTGAATGAATGATGTATCCAATGTAAAGTGCTTTGAGGGTCTCTGATAAAGCGCTATATGAAATCTGATGCATTTTTATACAATATTTAACGTAAGCATAATAAAAATAGATATGACCATTCCCTTTAATGTCATTGACTACAAGAAAAAAATTAAATGAGGATGTGATAGATTTTATTTGACAAAATGTGCTTTCACAGGCTTTATCTCTAAACCTGGACATTTAATGCAAGGGATATATTTTGTGATTAGAGAAAGGCTAGTTATACAGTCTGTATAACAGTCTGCTGCAATGGATGAAGGATAAATGAGTGATACCACGAACATCAGTCTGTTTACTGTTGCAATAAGGAGAGGAGAAAAGGAAGAAATCAGTGCAAAAAAGGTCAAGTTCACATACATATAAGGATAGATGACAGAGAAAACAACAAAACCAAAAAGGACTGAAAAAAGCCTACAGTCTGCACTATTTCAAGACTGGTAGACTGAAAAGAGAGCAAACTTCATAAAAAAGGTTAGCTGGGTAATGCAGTTTTTCCTCCATTCCTGTTGACCTTGTCCTGTTCCACCAGGGATAAGTTTATACTAATGAGAGTTAAAGCCACGTACAAGAAAAAAAAAAAGGGATGACAAGACAGCTCCCTAAGAGTGAAGCCAAAACACGAACGGCTTCAAAGCCTCCATACTGAACAGATGGATTATAATAATAATAATAATAATACATTTTATTTGTATAGCGCTTTTACAGGAGCTCAAAGACACTTTACAAAAACAATAAAAATACAGTAGGCAAAATTAATAGTAACAAGCTAAAAACAAATAAAATCAAATAAAAAGAATTAAAGGAATAAAAGATCATTACACAAACACTGAAGGCATTGAAATTTCCATTACCATGAATGTCTACTTTGCTATTTTATCGGTACGATAAATGAATGTTTTGAGGGAGGATCATTTCTGTGCTTTATGTCACCAGTACAATATAGTCTTGGTTGTATTTTGGCATATCTTTAAAGAGGGGGTGTGCTGCACCAGTAAAGAGTCAGTAATTATCATCAGATATAAGGTTTATCTTAGCAAGGCAACCTATTTTAAGCATCAGAATCATCATCAATACAATCAACTTATGATACCTGTCTTAGTCAAGTAATCCCTTTGAAATCAAGAAATTTGGGTTTAAGTATTTGTTTTATAGAGAAGTGATGACAAGGTGAAAGATTTTATAATGTTGATGTTATCTATAGCTCAGAATCTTACTTGCTGTGTATTAGTTTTCCTTGTGTTATTGCCTTATGTATGCTCAAATGTAATGCAGTATGATGTTAAAACAAAATGCCATTGCTGCTGTGTTCTCCTCCTGCTTCACTAAAATAAAAGCCTTTTCTGTCTTCAGATCTAACAAAGAGAAAAATCAGATCCATCTTTTTCAGCTTCCTGTAAATGACAGTAACTAATGATATGAAAATGATGGGAAATAAAGTTAGACTTGTTTGTTATTCTTATATTATTTAAATGTAACCTGCTTTCTCCAAATAGTGTAAAAACTTGATTTTATTTCCCATCTTGGACCAGCACAGTGATAGTTTCACCAGACTAAACCATGACACACAGCCCTATGCTGAGTTTATGCTGCAGGTTTGTCCTGACAGCCCACATCTCAGGTCTGATATCAATAAGATTCATGTGCTTTTAATACTTCAAACATATGTCTTGTGATGACACCAGCTCTACTGTCTGATGAAAACTATGATAGTTTTTATTCAAAACACTTGAAATCAAGGTATAAAGGTTACCTCTTACTCTAAGTTTCACGTTGTCTTTTCACTGCTGACAGAAGAGTGTAATTGTATCTCATAACAGAGAAAAGAAATAATTTAATAACTCTGGCGATCCCTTTTAAAGCTTCAAACATCCTTGACTGTCCTCTACAGACACCAGACAGGATTTTCCTCCATTTATCCTTCTCTCTTTCTTTTTTTTCTTACGCTTCACCCTGCCCTTGTCCGTGACGTTTTTTCTGCTTTCAGTCAGATGTCTTCAGGAGAAATAAATAATGTGATTCAATGTCCATGTACAGGTACTGAATGCACGTTTACTGATTGAGGATATTTTATCCTAGCTTTGTGAGAGTGTAAACAAAAATATCTGACGTAAATCTTTATTGGTCATTAAACGTACTCTCTCAGTCAAAAACACACCACAGAAAAGAACGAGAAAAAAAGAAAAGAGTAAGACCTTGAGTCGGACAGGGAATAGGAAGAATAAAAAGATGAATTTGAAGGTGGATTTGATTCCCTCAGGCAACTCCAAGGAGACTGACACAGGTGGAATATGAATGAGCAAAGTGTGTGTGTGTGTGTGTGTGTGTGTGTGTGTGTGTGTGTGTGTGTGTGTGTGTGTGTGTGTGTGTGTGTGTGTGTGTGTGTGACGGGGGTTAGTAAAGTGGTGGAGAGACCCAGACAGTGAAAAGAGAAACATTGAGAGAAAGAGAGAGAAGTGTCAGTGAGAGAGAAGAAGAGGAACAGAGTGGAAACAGAAAAAGTGGGGAGGGAAGGTCAAAGAGCCTGAAAGAAATACTGACAGAAGAATGAAGAGACTGGCTGCTAGGCTAATGGCAGAAGACAATAAGAGAGAGACAAAAGGAAATAATAGATAAGAGGGAAAGTAAAAGTGCTCACATTAAAGAGAAAGTGAGGGAGAGAATCTCTAACAGTGAGACAAAGATGACAGGAAGGACGTAGGAAAGTCCAACACTATCTCACTCCCACCTCTTCAAGTACAGAAGCTCGGTCTGTGTAGCATCAAAACCTGACTATCAAGCTATCCACTTGGTGTACAAAGGCTACAAATAACAAATTGAAAACATCACACAATCAATCATGCAATAAAAATAAGCAACTGCCAAACATGTTTCCCAATTAGAACCTATGGAAACAAAAGTAAAACTTTCAAAGTTGGTGGCAGTCATGGCAGGACAAGCTCAGAGGTCAGAGTTTGGAGAGAATAAAGCTGCTGGTATAGTAAAAGATTTGTACCAGCCTCCTTGCAGTGCCAATTAACACCACAGTAAATATTTCCAATAATGGTAACGTTAGGCGAGATGTATCAAACTTTAGTAATGATTAAGATGACAATTCTGTCCTCATCCAGCTCTCCCTCTCTTAACTTGATACACCTCTAAACATAAATAAGGCAAATGGCTCAACCCTCAACATACAGTAGCTCGTAGTTTGATGCACTCCAGGAACACCTGGACTTTATCCCATCAGAGCAACTCCAGGCACAGTAGGTCTTCAGGCCGCCCTCACATCAGTGCCAGCTCACTGTGGTTGAGGACAGAGATGGGTCTCTATAAGGTTGTCCCTAAGATTACTTCTGTTATTATTATTATTATTATTATTATTATTATTATTATTATTATTATTATTATTATTATTATTATTTATTTATTTATTATTATTATTATTATTATTATTATTATTATTATTATTATTATTATTATTATTATTATTAATAATAATAATAATAAACCAAGAGAAACATCTCATTAAAAGATAATAATAAATAAATAATAAAATAATAATAATCCAAGAGGAGAGATCAAAAGTTCTGCTAAAGAGAAATGTTTTGAGTCCGTTTTTACAACTGTGGGTTGTGGTGCCCTCAGAGTGTTGGGAAGGGTGTTCCATCGGCGTGGGGCAGCAGCACTGAAGACCCTATCTCCCATGGTCCTTAATTTGGTTTTGAGGTTTTTGTGGGTATTGAAGTCACAGTGGGGTTTTGACAAATCAAAATCAAGTGTGAAATACAATGAGATAGTAATAATAATTAATGCAACATGTATCTTAACTAGTGTCTGTCCTCTACATAATATCGTCTGTCTTAACTTAGTTGTGCAGATGATGACTGTGAGTTCATAGTTGAGGTCCTTTACCCAGGTGCCACACATCATAAAGTGTAGGAGAGACTAAGACATTTTAACTAGCAGTAATGGCTCTAAGAGATGATTATGCACCTTTAAAAACTGACAATCATTTATTCGTAAGGTTAAATAAGTCATGTGTTGCTCAAACATTGTCTCGCCTTTACTCAGTTTGACTGATTGTGTTGTTTAGTCTTCAAATTTTCTTCTGTGATGATTCTGAGTTGAGAGAATGTAAAGTATTTGGCTTGTTTTGATGCACAATATATAATGTTGCCAACACTTAAGTTTTGTGACCTAAAAAGAAGTCACCTTTGTGAATAAGGTCAAGTTTAACTTTTTATTTCACACAGGAATCAAAAGTTCAGACACCTCTGTGAAACTCCTGCGCTTGTCCAACCTCACCATGGCCCCTCGGATGAAGATGCCTAGGATTCAGGCAGGAAAATAAAATACTTACCGAGACTTAAAACATGAACACAAGACTTTGGTGTCTTAAACTTTTGTGGCCTTTCTCTGTTTTTGCAAGTTACTTTTAAAAGCCAGATTTCTTTTATATGTTGTGAGAAAGAGTCAGGCTCAGTGGAGTGATGGAGAGTCAAATGGGAATGCAAAAAATAAAGAAGGCGAGAGACAGAGGAGTGTAAAAGTGGATGATGGGTAGAGGGAGAAGAAGCACTATTAAAGTCACAAAACACTAGAGAGTTGGAAAAAAATCAGGAATGTTACAATGTAGGGGAAATGGAAATCAGAATGAGTAAAAATGAACAGAAAGGTCAGAAGAGGAGAAAAGACGAGTAAGGTAACAAGATGACAGGAACAAAAGAGAGGGGCAGATTGAGAAAAAAGGAGACAGATGAGCATGAGAATGACAGAGAGAGAGAAAAGAGGCAGACAATGAGGAACAGAGGGAGACTGACAGATCGACGTGAGGGAAGGAGGAGGGAGCAGGTCTGGGGATCAAACTGGTCTCAGAGATCATTTGACAGGAGATGAAAAAAGGAGGTGATGAGGAGCGAAATGCTGCAGATGAACAGACAGGGAAGATTAATGCAGACGAGGAGTGGAGGTGATGAGATAAAAGAAAGACAGCAGAAAAAAAAAAAGGCCATGGAAGGCTTAAGTACCTATGGTGTCACCTTTGTTGGTGCATGATGCCACCACTATGCAATAATACAGATGGAGACAGCATGGCCTGCCTTGGATCCTAAATTTCACCTGTACTATATATAATTTTTTTTTTTTTTATCAGGTCCCATTGTCTTTGTCTTTATGAAAGGTTCAGGTTGAGTGTGGTGAAAAAAAAAAAAAGATAGAGATTTACAGTCGGAAAGTGGATTTGGAAGAAAATGTGGATGTTATGTGTAACTAAGTACTAGGAGGGTTCAGACAAACAAGGTTTTAGTTTCTTTCAGTAACAGATGGTGAAAGTCGTGGCATAGAGATTGGAAAATTGCTTCAAACATTGTCATCATCCCCCGTTCAGTAACTACATAAAATTTTAAACAAAGTTGACATGAGCAGTGGTGCAGAGATGCAGACAGTTTTCAGGGAGCACCCGCAGAGAACATAGCAGCTGAGGAGGGAGCCATTTTTTCTGTTTCAGGTTATTTTTTGAGCCAGTTTTCTCCATTATTTGGAAGAACAGCTGGGGACGGAGGGAATGTGGGAAGTAGAGAGTGACAAATGATATGCAGAAGGGTCCAGGCTGAGAGTCAAACATGCAACCATTGTGCTGAACACTGTGGCCCATGTGTATGGAGCGCATGCTGTAACCACTGAGCTAAACTGACACAGCAGCCCATTTGCTTCTGATGGAGTTTTGGTTAACCATAAAAAGAAATAAAAATATGATTGAGGGCAGTGAAGCAGGGTCTGAGCAGTGCTGTTGTTTGCACAGGCAACAGCAATCAACTTGCAACGAAGACACAAGCCAACCAATGATGAAACAAGTTAAAGAGATGTTAATCATCTTCAAGTAATCCAGCATTGTAGACATGGAAATATGGGTTAATACACTGTCAGGGGTCGTGGGCTCTTAATGAGCTCTTTCTTCACTTTGAAAACTGTCATACATAAACTTCTTTCTGCAAAATCAATCTTATACAATACTCAATGCAACCGGAAACTGCCATATTTGAAGATGTGTTAATCTGAGTAATAACAGGAGTGACATCTCTTACTAAAACAGGATTACCTATAGTGTTGCAATTGATCACAGTTAATCTTTGATCCATTTGGTTTACCCTAAGTGAATTTAACAACAAACGATCAAAGCAGTAAAGTGTGACAAAAGACCCAAAGTGTAAATGCAAAAATTGCACTTCAAGTCCCCACTTAAGTCCAGGGACCTCATTTATCAACCTTAATTAGAAGAAGTTCTAAATTCTGGCATAGGAATTAAATCTAGAGTGTGCGTCAGTACAAAAAAAATGTATTTATCAAAGATGCGGACACCGGTCATACACACACTAGTAAGTAATCAGTGATGATAAATCCCACTTTACTTGTTCTTAACTACCGTGCTTGTGCATGGTTGTGGTCATTTGCATTCGGAAACGCCTCCAACTGACCATATATGGTATCACCAATCCCTTTAAAAATGGATTCTTTTTTCCTCTCGTTGAAATCATGGCAAAGAGATCAAAGAAGAGGAATTTCACTAGCGCCAAGATTGAGGTAGTGGTAGGAGAGGTTGAATCTAACCACAAAATTTTATTTGGAACACTGAACGTGGGTGTGACTAACAACAGAAAAACTGCCACCTGGGAGAAAGTGACGGCTGCTGTAAATGCTGTTGGGTCAAAGGAAAGATCCCTTTCTGAAATAAAGAAGAAATGGTTTGATATTATATTAAAATCAGAGCCAAAATACAAGTCACAGCCAACAGACACGAGATATCTGTAACCGGAGGGGGACAAACCACAACTCAACTTTTACCAATGGACACCTGCATTGCCATCATCATTGGAGACACGGACACTCTCCCAACAACTGTACCATAGACCAGTCACACTGCAGGAAAAATAAAAGCTGGACTGAGGTGTTTCATGAACATTGATTTAGACAGTTTTATTTCTGAATTAGAATTGAAATGAACGTGCCAATCATGTGGTGTTTCTTCAATAACTCAGACACTCAAGCCAGCCCCGCCTGCCCTCAGGAGTTGGAGGCAGTGGAAGAGCCAGGGGAGTTGGAGGAACAGGAGCAGCCAGTGCCATCCAAAACCCATTTGGTGCATCCTTGGGGGCCAAAGGTTCTGACGGAGGCAGTGCTGAAAAACCAGCAAGACACCACCAAGTCAATAAATAAAATAAAGGATCAGCTGACCAACATGGCAAATACTTTACTGCAAATCAATGAGTCACTCAAACAGATTAATGCATGCACGTCACAAATGTTAAACAAATAAACTTTAAAATGTTTAAATTATTTGTCCAGCGTATGCTTTCGATCCGAAATTTCTCAGTTTTTAAAGATGGGCTAACAGGCGGACCTACCTAAAATCTCTGTCTGATTCACTCTCTTGTTTGAATAGCAGTGGCATTAGGGGGTTGGAAAGGCTTGTTTAATAGATACATACGTGCATTGCAGACTTTTTGTGCATTGATTAAATGAAATCCTTTCCTGTTGACAAAACTGAATTTACTGTGTAAAGGTGCATTTATTGCGATGTGGGTGCAATCTTTGGCTCCAATTATGTTTGGGAATCAGGCGATGGTGTGAAATTCTCTTTTTTTTTTGGCTTGTTGGTCATGTGTGTATGGGAACTGGATGTAAATTGAGGCCAGAGAAATTATTGCTTCCAACTCGGCCGGCATGAATCTGCTCAGCGTTGGCTGCAAAATGCTGTATATGTCTCCAATCTCACGCTGAAATGTCCTGATGGCCAAAAATCCCAGGGTGGACAGGAGCTGGAAGTGCACTGGGATGGCTTTGGTGCGTTTTGTCTTTCGCTTCAACATGGGCTGTAAATCACGGCATAAATCCATTAAAATGTTTTTGGAGACGCAGTACCTGCTGAGAAGCCACTCTGTGTTCTCACGGAACATATCAGCAAGGTCTTTGAAAATGCGCTGCCTGTGGAGCATACGGTTCTCCAAGTCCTCCCATAGCGCAAAATAAGCCATGATACTTGTATTTTCATACTTGTAAGACTTCTTTTGAGGTTGTTCTGTAACAGCTGTCTTTTATAGCTTGTCACATAAATTATTTAAAATGTCTGCCAAATTACTAATTGATAGATTTCATTAATTAGGGGCAACAGGGAACATGTGTGAAGTTTGAGATTGCTGAACGCTGTGACTCCTTTAATGGGTTCTATTTGTAGGTTCAACTTTTTACCACTAGATTTTGTGTTTAAGCATGGTCAGAGTTGTGCTTAAATTTACGCACATTCCTAAGCACAAGTACAGGTTGATAAATTCCATACTTTGTGTGGGAATATTTGTACGCACTCATTACACACATATCTGTCCGTACGCACGGTTCATAAAAGAGGCCCCAGGAGTCCACTCAAAGACCCTTGTTCAAATACCCATTTCAACAGCAGGAAAACCTTCTTCAGCCTTGTCCATTCAACGATCTTAGTTTGTCAGAACTGATCCATTTACACAAAACAAAGTGAAAGAGTTGGTCTTCATTTTGTCTCATTAGACACATAGGGCTCTATTTTCGTTCGCGCCGGTGAGGCGGCGGAGGGCGGCGAGCCCCGCGCAGTTGTATTTTCGTCTGGCGGAGCCCAGCGTAAGGCCAATTTGGTATTTTCGTGGCATGAGCCGCACGGAGGCGAGCCGAGATCCGCCAAGCTGGGCGTGGTGGTGTGGCAGGGGGAGGTGTTGACAGAATCAGCTGGCGCAGTGACATTTTCGTGCTCGCCAACGGCGTGTAAAGTGCGCTGAAAGCTCGCCGATTCAAACCTGGTCAGCTTTCAGCGCAAGGCAGAACGCAGCTGGTCTTGTAGTATTTTGGTAGACCGGCGGCGTATCGACATACGTCACTGATGCCTCACCGGCAGGTTTCCACAGTGTCAGGCACATTTCAGTGCAATAAGTAATCATCATCAACTATTAATCTGAGTCAGCACATACATTTAGATCTATATTGATATATTCTGATCTATATCTGATCTGATGAGCGCGTTTGGCACGCGTTTGGACACACAACCTGACCGAATCAACACAGCTGAAACCGCATCAAATTAAATTAAATATCTAGTAAATAAACACACATGATGAAGTTAACAAGATATGTAATTCGTCTCCCTCCTTTTCTTTCTTCCTCTTCCTCTTATTTCTCATGCAGCTCGACCTGGACACGTCTCCGTGTCCTCTGTCCGTCTTGCTGCTGCTGCGACTGAACAGATGATTTGTTTCAGTGCTCAGATGCGTGATCTACTTTAAGCCGACATACGGATATTATAATATTCAGTTTTGTGAGCCAAATTTATTTTATATGCCAACATCTATGAAAGAAAGAGCCAGGCCACGGAGCGCGATGCGTCATTTACGCACAGATGGTTCCAATTTTAATGCCATTTTTGGAATTTATGGTGTGATCTGTGCGCACAACTCATCTTTGTCATATGGGATTTAAATATATGCAGCACATACATTTAGATCTACAGTACATTTTGATGTATATCTATAGGAGCGCGTTTGGCACGCCTAATTGCCACTCCACCTGACCGACTAACACAGCTGAAACTCTGATGCAAACTAACAAAGTAGCAAAGTAAGTTATGACCGTTGTTCTCAAGATTTACATGCAGCATGTGATCTCACAGCTACAAATTTAATAATTTCCATGCTTAACATTATCTACAAAGATGGAGTACATAATTGCAAGGAGGTGGAGGAGGAGGAGGAGAAATTACAGAGAGAGGGTGATTCATCACAGGGCATCATATTTAACCTTAACAGAGCAGGAATGCAGGTGGGCCACATGGATAACGCCTCCAACACCGTGTTCAATACAACTGCCTTTTAACAATCTACTATTTTCCTTGACACAGGACCAAATTACACCTGCCTCGTGAGGTGGTCCACGCGATCACACGGATTGTGGCCTCAGATGCGGACCCCGGTGGCCCATGCGCTCTCCCAGTTGCTGTGAGGGTGACAGCGGCTCTGACTTTCTTCGCCACCGGGTCTTTCCAGCATACCGTGGCTTCGGTGGTAGGGATAAGTCAGGCCGCTGTCAGTTTGGCCATACATGCAGTGTCCACCAGTCTAGTCCGACACGCAAATGAGCACATCATTTTCCCATCATCACCTGCAAGCAAGCTGGAAACGAAGCGAGGGTTCTTGTTGAAATATGGATTCCCTGGGGTCCTTGGAGCAATTGACTGCACACATGTGCAGTTGCGCGCACCAGAGACCCAAGCCCTCATTTATGTGAATCGTAAGGGAGTCCACTCCAGTAATATCCAGGTGATTTGTGACTCAAATTGCCTGGTGACAAACGTGTACGCTAATTACCCCGGGTCTGCACATGATTCATTCATCCTGGCGAATTCTATCATCCCTACAGTCTTTCAGGGGGACACCCCTCTGGATGGGTGGCTGCTAGGTGATAACGGCTATCCACTGAAAACGTGGTTGATGACGCCATACATTACACCTTCAACAAGACAGCAACGTGTTTTTAACAGTGTCTTCAGCAGTGCTAGGTCAGTCATTGAACGTACTTTTGGAATCCTCAAAATGTGTTTCAGATGTCTGGACCGGTCAGGTGGTTCATTAACATACAGCCCGCATAGTGTCGGTGCATTCTTTGTGGCATGTTGTGTTTTACACAACATAGCTATACGCCATGGATGTCACTACGACCTCGCCGAGGACACATTACTGGACTTTAGACAGAGAGAGGCCAAATTGCATGTGCCATGTCAGCAGGGAGAGCAGCAGAGCGCGCAGGTGAGGAGGGACCGCCTCGCAGCACAGCTCTGCCCTTAAGTGTGAGTATTTGCTTTCATTCATTTATACACTTTTTGTAATTATCCACATTAAAACATCCAATAAATAGTCAAACATGATTGCATTAACAAGTGTTTTTATTGTGTTTCTCCCCTCCCAACCCCCCTTCTTCTTCTTCTTCCTCCTCCTCCTCCTCCTCCTCCTCTTGGGTCTGGACGCTGCAGTCGGTCAGTCAACCCAGGGGGCCGCCCCCCTCTTGTGCGCGGCCTCAGCGGCCACCTGGGACAGGCGGGGGCGGATGATTCTGCTGGTGGCAGCAGCCTTTCGGCTACCTGGACCAGCCGCTGCAGTGTCGCAACACCAGCGGCTAAGGGGAGCAGGCTGGCCTGGAGGACCTCCTGGAGAGCCTTCACCTGGGCCTCCAGCGACCCAAGCCGCGTCCCCATCGACCCCAGCTCCCTCTCCAACATCAGAAAACCAGCCCGCTGGGTGTCCACGAAGGGCTGGTCCTCCCGCTGAACGCGGTTTCGTCTCCGACCCCGTGTTGCCGGCTCGTCTCCACGTCCTGCCCCCTCCCGCGTCTCCGGCACCGGCTCCGGCTCCCCCTGGTCCTCCTCCTCGCGGTCGTCTTCGTCCTCTCACTCCTTCTCCTCCCCCCCAACCACCTGCTGCTGCTGTTCTTCCTCCTCCTCCTCCTCCTCCTCCCTTGTGGTGTGCTGCTGCCGCGACGGCGGCAATTCTGCCGAGGCTGACCAGAAATTTTATTTTAGTAAATCACAGAAATTCTTTTTAAAAAAATGTTAATACTTTCATTTAGAATAAAGAAGTTAGAAATTGTGTGAGCAAAGTTCATTTCAGATGCAAACATTAGCGGAAAGGGGGAGAAAATACAATCAGGCTTTGTTTGATCCGTCTTTACGCACAGGTGGTTCCGATTTCAATCCCATTACGCATGGCATTTTTTCAGATCACCTGTGCACACAACACACCTTAGTAACACGTGGTTAAATATACATGTTAGTGTCTTTATTTGTGGAAAAGAATGTTTGTCTTACCCGTGAGTCCAACCTCAGAGACACCAAACCCCTCGATACTAATTTTGGGGAGTGTGGAGGACGCCACGTCCTCCGCAGGGCTCAGCACCACACTCGTTGAGGGGCCGCCTCCGGTCATTGCAGTCTGGCGACGGTGTTGGGATAATTTAAGTTTAGCCCGTCGTCTAACATCATTGAACCACTTTTTGCATTGCGCAGCGGTTCTCAGCACGTCCGGGCAAACTTGATTGACAGCAGCACTTACCTCTTCCCAGGCTGCTTTCGCATCATCGACCCGTGGAGGTCTGTTCGCGTGACCGTATATCCGGCCACTGCGAGACTGGACCTCCCGGACCAGAGCATCAGTTTCCTCCTGAGAGAAGTTCGGCTGTCTCGCACTCGTTTCCATCTCGGCCATCTGTGAGTCTGCTGCACGAAAATGCCAATGCGCCTCGCCGACGGCGGATTTAAAGGCGAGGAGAGGCGGTTATTTGATTGGCGCAAATTGGACTCGGCTGTGTTAAACCCACTCTCCTTCCCCCCACGACGTATGCTGCTGGGAGGAGCTGAGTTAGGGAGGGGGGATACTTACGCCGGGCTGCGCGGCCCACCAAAATACCAAAATGTGCTTGGGAACGCCTTGTCAGCGCGGCGGATCTGATTGACGCTGCGCTTGCGGCAGATCTCCGGCGAAGCACCAAAATAGAGCCCATACATGTAGTTAATTTGACTGACAGCCTGTAGTTGTTGTTTGACAAAGGCTTCCATCTACCTTAACTCCACCTCTTCTGGATTGATCAGAGGTGGGTTGGCATAGCATGTTAAATGGCAAACCATTGCTGTTTTGTAACAGAGCTTATGAAACCAATGAATGTTGTCACTCTATCCATATTATATACAGAGCCCGGGGCCCATGTGCTCTGCTGGTACATAAAACAATTCCTATCATGGTGTCAAATAAATGTTACTGTATAAATGTGAATGTTGCATGCTGTAGTTTGGAGCTGTGAACAACCTTTAACTCTGTCATACAGCAATGTGTTCAAACTAAACACTGGAGATATGCTCTGTATACATTTGGTTGACATTAAGTGCTGCATGTTAGCTGATAATAACTTTCAAGGTGTACTTAGAAACCATAACAAGTAACACAAGCTGTCTAGTTTGGTTTAGTGGGGTTTGGTACCATAAACCTTAATCTGGTTTACGCTTCCACAGCTCATAAACTGGACGGAGCTAACTGCATCAGAAGAAAACATACTGACATCATCCTAATAAAAAAAAGCAGTCTTGAAATTTGCAGGATATTTGAACCGTCCACGGTGTGTGTCTGGCTTTAAGGGCCTGATAGCTTGGTATGCTTGACCACAGACATACAGATGTATTTGTACTGTACTGAACAGAGCTGAGCCTGCTCACTTGATGAAAACACAGCTTTACTGAGAGGATTCAGCTTTTTATTTAGCAGACTGTTGAACTCAAAGCTCTTAGAAAAATTTTCTAAACACAAAGGGAATTCAAGGCTTATCTGATTTATTGACTTGTGGCAAACTGTTGAAAATCGAGGGGTGCAATACTAATCAAGATATATTGTGATTCTTTGAGCCTGAAAAACGCACAGTTTGAGACATGGCAAATTGAGGAGAAGAAGAGTTATACAGCTGCAACACATTTCTATTTTCTTGCTGATTTGAAAATCATTCAGTCTTTGGCAGAAATCTGTGATCTGTGAGCCATGAGATCCTGATCTGCCAGCTAACATTTCTAAAGTAACCTTACCATCACAGGTCATGACATGAAACTGGCCATGAACCATCCTCAATTCTTTCAGGGTTCGTTCACTTTTTAACACATTTAGTGTCATTTCCAGATCACACCATCATAAATGTGTGAAGGCTGTGTCAATGTCAGCTGACATCAACACAGCAGCAGGAGCACAAAGCTCAACACTTCTCAGCCCAGAAGAAGCTCAAGCACATCTGACAAAATAAATCCTTAGTGTCATGGTCACTGAGGACAATACTACCACTACTACTACTACTAGTACTAATAATAATAATAATAATAATAATAATAATAATAACAATAATACATTTTATTTGTAGTGCCCTTTACATCAAGAGACAAGAGACCATCAGCAGTTTTTTTTTTAAAGAAAAGAATCTATGAGGAGTGACCAAAAGTTCTGCTAAAAAGAAATGTTTTGAGTCCTTTTTTAAAACTGTAAGTGGGTTGTGGTGCCCTCAAGGTGTCGGGGAAGGCATTCCAAAGGTGTGGGGCGGCAGCACAGAAGACCCTATCTCCCATAGTTCACCGTATGTTAATGTGTTTTGTTAATAAGTGTGTTTAAAGCTGCAGCATCAACCTTGAATCCAAAGTCTTGAGGAGTACTGCCACATAAAAAAGAAGAAAAAATTACTAAGATTTTTTTTTAAGTTTTTCCTTTCTTCAACAGGAGTAAAATGTGGTGAATGCTGCTGAAGTGGGAAAAAAAAATTCACATTTCAGATTTTCAGGCTTTTCTTCGATCTAGAGTTTTTTTTTATATGGTGTTTTATTGGTAGTGCAACTTTTCTGACCCCGAGGCTGCAAAATCCATTCAGTATCCGTAATAAGATTTCAAAGACTCTTTGTCATCAATCTTACAATGAGCCTGCCTTTCTAAATTTCAGAAAAATTGACTTTTTGAAAGCAGAGCGAGCAGCAGGTGAAGAGAGGAGGTGTTAACCTCCAGAGTCACACAAAGGAGAAACTCATCACTCTTCTTACCGATTCAATTTAGGGGACAGCTGAGGAAAGACCTCATACTATTCATTCATCGAACGTTTGTAGAGGATGATTCTGCTGATAAAGATATGATGATAAGAGGGTCTCTACAGTCTGTCCTGTCTGTACTTTCACAGACCTACAGGATCTCCTGTCTGAAACATCACAAAGTGAAGGTCAGACTTTACCACCCACAAAACTCAGATCAGTCACCTTAATGTGTACAGGCCAGGAGGCAATGATTCAGGGTGTAGTGACACTTCAGTGTGGGTGGACTTGTGTAAGTGTGCACAAAGATGTGGGAAATCCACAACATGCCCTTAAACAGTGTACCTGATATTCCCCTCTGTCAGGCAGTGTTTACAGTGCTGCTGTCACTTCTTAGGCAGTCTCAAAATATTCAGATTTTATTGTAAGTTAATAGAATTTTAAATGAAGTGAGAATACTTTTTGATTGCATATAATGGATATCAAGATTTTCAGCATTAAGCCTCAATAATGTGTGGCTATCGGTGTTGTATAATGCCAGACTTCTGAAGTATCACAATGAGAGAGGGGAACTCTACTTTAGCTAAACATGCTTTATTTTTATATTGAATCAAATGATTATGAGGGTTGAAGCTACAGTCAACATGTAACTGTGAAATCTCAGCTATAGCTGTTGACTTTTATCAGACTGAGTGACAAAAATAACTGCAGCTGGGGGTTGTTTCAGGACAAGATGTAGGACAGGGAAGCTAGCATGCCTTCTGCACCAAGATTAACAGTAAAGTGGGGAGCATTTAGCGGCATTAAGCAGAAAAAAAGTGAGTAATTGCTTGAATTTAAGTTTTGTTTTTACATTATTTATAATGTGTTATCTTTAACAAAAGATGAGGACCCAAAATGTGGACTCAATATATTTAAACTGGACTGAGAATAAAAATGTAAAATAAAACAAAAATAGCCCAACAAAGGAAAAGTCACTGGAAATCACCAGGGAACAAAGACAAAATGAACAGAAGAGATAAAACAAAGAGACGAAGGGCCTTTTTGAAACTGCCCCCTATACCCCCTTCCTGTACACTTCCCTGACATTTGCATGTTCCCATCAAGAGTCCACAATGAGTACCATCCAAAATCTGGTGGACTGAGCTGTTTCACCCTCACAAAATGATAACATCTCTACAAAAAGAAGAGCCACCTAACAAGATTGGGAATATTTCTCATTCGCTCGAGGGATTTTTGTGAGTCTGCTAAATGTAAACAGCGATAACAATAATTTTTTTGACATGTAACCATGGTTATGTAAAGTTTTCACTTCTAGGTCATGAAGTGCAGTTGGTTTAAAGTTTGCAGCTGCACCAATCCCAGGGACTTCAAATGCACTTAGGGGCAGAGGGTAGTCTATCAAGCTGGAGGTCAGGGGTTTGATAATATTGCCAATATCTGCATTTAAAAAACAAGATTATACACGGTGGCTGAACAAACCACAATTTTAAATGTGAAATTTAGTTGCAAAATTACTTCATTTCAACATTATAGCCTAATTTAGAAGATTTGCTCACAAGAGGAAAATAAGACCCCAACACTGTTCCACCAAGAGTTTGATTTAACCTGACACAAATTTGCACAACTGGCCATAGCAAGCCAAGCCGACAGTGCTGACCTTTAGGGGAAAGGAAAGCAAAAGAGCCCAAAAACATAGGATGTCTCTCATCTTATTTCTACACTTTTACTGACCCTGTCCTCTCTGTGAGCAAAATCTGTTCCACAAAAATCATAATATGCATACAGGGAGAGAAGTTCACCGGACGTATTGCTTTGGATTTAAATATGTGAAGTTTTTGCCCTGTAATTAAGTGAGGTAAGGTAACAAGCTAACAAGTGGGCTAGATAATTAGCAAGCCGTTAGCTCATAGGTTGTTGGATATTTGATCAAAATTAATTGGATATTGTCTGTAGGAGTTACAAAACACAGTAAAAAAACATACACTTTTCTCAACCTTTATCAACCACTGAGGCTAAAAAGAATTGCACAGCAAAATCACACTGAATATGGAGCTGTGAACTCACCCTGAATGTCAGCTATGATCACTGGTGGAAAAATATGTTGACTTACACAAAGTAACATAGCATGCTGCTCTCTTAACAAAAGGGAAAAAGCAAGACTCACCGGTGTCTGATCTTTCCTTTTCAACCCAGTCCCTGTAGTTTCCTCTAGGTCAGAAGAATGATGCCAGACTGAGGCATTCAAGTGTTTGCTGAGTGTGATGTGAAAATGTCACCTCGGGTTTTTATCTGGTTCTGCTAATAAAGCCAAAGCTTAGATATGTGTCACAAGTACATACAGGTTAAACATGGCCTCTCTCCAGCTCTTGTGCTTTTCTGCTAAAAACCTGTCCAAAAAGGAACTATCTGCAGGAAAACACAGTACAGAACTGAAGTTTTGCACAAATTAAGATGAACCCAAAGCTGGCAACCTAAGACTATTAAGGTGAACCAATTTATGTTTTTTTTTTATCTTATTGCTTTTGACATTTATTAGTCAGGACTGCTTTGGAGAGACAGGAATTAAGTGTGGAGAATGACATGCACCAAACCATGTCCAGGAATTGATGGTAGGACCAGTGCGATGTGGACTGTTGCCTCAGTACATGAGGCACATGTCCCACCAACTAAATTGAACCCGCACCCTCAGTAAATGGCATTTTGATATAATCGGCATCATGTTGGTGAAGCACATACACAGATTATGTCTGCAGACACTGCAGGCAGCCTTGTCAGTCTGCAGACTGCTGCAGTGAAAATGCAGTTGAGACCTCTGCCTTAACTATAGCCTAACTCTTGTGCATCTCGATATAAATGTTTGCATCCATTTTTTTTCCAATCATTGTTGTCTTTTCTAAATGAGAATGTACATTTCCTGAAATAATGGCATATTAAATCTAGAACACCTACTAACAAGTGTTTCTGGTGTTGAATGTAACAATGCAGTTTGCTCAGTCATGTTCTAAAATCTTTATCTGTAAAATCCTTGTGTTTTTATTTCACGGATTAATTACAAATTGAACGAAAAAGTGTTTGTGGCCAAGATAACCATGTATATGAGTGTGCATGGCATAATGGAACTGTTTTTGACTTTTATATTTCTTGTATTTTAATCAAATTTGATTGTTCAGCTTAATCCTTGAAGTCCTTGGTAGCAATATGTTATTGAGCTACCAGCAGGGATAGCTGATAACTAAAAGTTCATTTAAATCAGCCATTTTAGTTTTTACTTATTATAACTATGACATCTTTGTACCTTACCAAATGCAGAAAAACATTAAAAATTAAAAAAAAAAAGATCAAAAAATAAAAAACCTGTCACTGGCCATTGGTTGACCTGCTTTCTTATTGCCAGTATCAACATCCACCACAAGCTAGAATGAAGTGTTTTCTTCTTTCTAAAAAAAATTCCATAAAAGGACCAGAAACAAATGATGATGTTTAACTCTTCTCATTATCATCCTGTCTGTGCATCCAGTTTAAAACCAGGAGCCTGATATGTGAACTTTTAAATAGCTGGTGGCATTAGTTTTCACCAACTTTACTCAGGTAAGAATAAATAATGCATATGTGTTAGGGATGTACGGTTGCCATTGAGAGCTCTGGTGTGTATTTCCAGCAGCAGGACAGTGGATGTGGGATTGACTCAAAATTAACTACATTCATAGTCATGGTAATGAAGGAAAATGTCACCCAGTGCAACAGTGGCTCATTGATGTGTTTGGATCAATAATGAAGCTCCATAGCTCAGAGGAATAAGCGACTAACAAAGGATGGAAAGTGGAAGCAACAGAGTGATGAAGAGTCCACCTGGGTTGTGTTGAGAGGATCGACTGATTTCACTGGTGAGCGCAGAGAGGCACTGGGGGGGGGGGGGGGGGGGCAAGAAAGGAAGGGAAAAGAGGGTGAGTAAAGGAAGTAACGGTCGTCTCCATGGTGAAGCAGTGGTTGTCATGGTTACCCACAGAGCCCGGGTCAGCGGCTCCAGGAATGCGCATGCTGTTTGCACCCATGTGCACACGGGCGCACACACTCGCTCACACACACATACACACACACTGGTCATTATTTTCCCCCCTCTCTTGTGTGTGTGTGTTTGTGTACAACATATGTGTGTTAGTGTGTGATAATAGATGAGCCTTGTTGTCAGAGTCACCAAAGGGTGTGAATGTCTACACTTCAGGAGGTAAGAGAAGAGGTGTGTGTTTTCAGTGTGTGTCAAAATGAAAAAGAGACATTGAGAGTGTGTTGTTTCATCCTTTTTTACTCCCCTTTGGGGATATAAATACATGTTTCATCCAATGTGTGCTGTGTTTTGTGTGTTTAGGTATGTGTGTGGCCGGGTCAGATAGGTTCATGTCAAGGATGGGTGTGAAAAGAAAACTGTGTTTTTTGTGAGGGAATAAATGTGTGTGTATTTGTGTGTGTGTGTGTGTGTGTGTCTAACGCAGCAAGGAGTGTGAGTTAACCAACACTTACCGCTGTGCTGCCATTTCTGTATCACAAAACATCCAACTCTTTCTGCAAGTGGTAGTTTGGCTCTCAGGGATGCACACACACACACACACACACACACACACACACACACACACACACACACACACACACACACACACACACACACACACACTCAAATCTCCACCTCCAGACATGCTCACCCAAGCACAAAATTAGAAGTTCATGCAAGAAATACACTCTGTGTATTCCTAGCATCTTTCCACTACATTTAGGCTTCAACTGGGATTCGCATGGTTACCATGACATGCAGACACGCAACAAACATGCCATACCAAACTGCCCTAATGTGCACTAATGTGTTTGGATGCATGTGACATTTTATTCTTATTGATTTGCCTCCTTTTTTGAACCAGTGCACCACTGTTTCCACTTATTTTTACCCTTTCTGCTCCCTGATCCACTTAGTATAGCTATACAGAAAACACACAACTGAAACTGCAGAACAGAATTGAATGAAACCATCAAACTATGCAATATGTCTGATTTTTATACAAGACCCTCATCTGCAGAAGTGTTCGATAAATGTGTACACACATCCCATTTTCTTTATATAGAAGAATATAGTTTGCTATAGTATAGTTTGCTAAGTAATCTACGCATGTGATCACGGTACCATAAATGTTAGAAGGTAAACATGTCAAGAGTTTCTAAAACTGGTCCAGTATGAAGATAGGGTGGAGCAGCCAGCTGCCACAAACCAGCTAAAATATAGTTTGAGCGGGCAATCGCATCATTGAACTTTATCAACTACATGTGCTTTATTTCCACATTGGCAAGCTGAAATTGTTTTAACACATTCTGAGAATGGAACGACAAGGGTTTCCTTTACTTACTACTCATGCCTGTCTGTGTTCAACCAAGTCTCGCCAGTGGAGAAGTGTCGTTCTGTCAAGCCGGAACAAAAACATGGGAAAATAGGGCCCAGGGCCCAAATACTCAAGTTCTCCTTTCAGTAATGCTGTATAACCTGTGTGTTGGTTTAACTTGGAATATCGACAAACCCTCAATGTAACCCCTACACACCCTTGGTCTTAGAGTGGATGGCTGGGCTTGTTCTTATGGCTAACTGCATTAAGGAGAGGTCTGCCACAAAACTGCATCAAAGGTCAGTCCAGGCTTGTTTACGCTACTTTTTCAGCCCATAGCACAGCAGATAGGAGGCATGTTGTTTTCTGACATCTGGTCCCAGGTCACAAATAGTTGTAATGGATGTCAAAGGCCATGGATCAGGGACAGATTGAAAGGCTTTTGGCTGTGTCACTGACATGTGCCAGGGTGGCAAAGTTTGTTTCTGTCTCCACTTAGGACATCTACTTTGACAACTTTCAGTTAAGTACCCAATGGATGATATACTCCTGTTTATGTTTTTGCCCATAAGGTAATGCAACAGACAGCCAGTGTTGTATCATATTAGCTGAGATGGCCAGTCAGATTTTAAAGGGGGTTCACCCCATGCCTGGCCACTGCTCTGGATCTGCCCTTACAAAGCATTACATGCAACTTCATACTGCTCTCTCTTCTGTGTTGACCTCATTATTTCCATCTTACTGGATACTAGAACGAGATCTTACTACAAATCAAGAAAGAAAAAGGACTGGCGTTAAATCGTTTCAGAATGTGTCCGTCTTGTTTTAAGATGCAAGACACTTCTTCTATGATAGCTTTTAAGAGGCAGACTGGCAGAGTGCTGTTATTAAAATACACGCAAGCTAAACAGCTGCATTTTGAAGCTCTGAGTGACATGAGACAGCTGAAGAGAAGCAGTGATGAGCAGCAGTGAGTAGTGATCCTGACAATCTCAGAAGCTGTGATTAAGCTTTGCATCACCCAGCTGAAGGATGGCTGAAGATGAGGACCCTGATGCCTAAAAAGAGAGGGAGAATGTCCCCTTTACAAATAATAGTGCCATGTTCTGTCAGTACCCTGAAATATCAGCTCATCTAGACTAACAGGTTTCATGACCTGGGGGCAAAGCAGACCTACTGAAAAGGTTTCATGAAAGGTCATAAATTCACAGACATCAGCAGTGGGAGTGGATGGGGTTCACCTGATCCAGGATAGTCTCATGTAGGTTTGAGGTGTTTTGAAGGTCACTGATAATACACAGCATGCCTGGTTGAGTCAGCCAGAGAACTACTAGTACTCAACTTGATCTGCCTTTCACAGCCTATGACTGAACATTCAGGACTTCTACTTCAGTAAGTGTCACATTGTTCATCACTTCTGTGTTATTTTTACACATCAGCTCTTTAAGAAAAAAAGGAGGACTTAAATAGACAGAGAGACAAAACAACTTTATTCAAAGGGTTTTTGAGCTGAAGTCTACTTTGGTAAGAACCATAAAAATGAATTCCTCACAATTCTCTAAAAATAATTTTTAACATCTAGAGATCATTAGCTTTTTTTTACCAACACTAGCTGCATTTACATGGGCACAAATAATCAAAATAAATGCCCGGTCAGAATGAATATGCGTCATGTAAACATGTTGATCGAAAGATGCTGATTCAATTCTGACTCGGTCTTCACTCTTTTGGCTTATTTATTGAGACCAGTTCAGGAGGTTTCATTAATTACACTCTGGCATGAAACACAACCACAAGTACCGTGTCTGCTCCTCCAGTAACATAAGGTGTACATACAGCGTAATGATGTCACATCTGCACACACAGTGCAACCTTTGACAGAACAGTAAAATAATGAGCAAGGGTGCCATCTAGTAACAACATTTAACAGGGGGGGAAATCCTGAATTGGATGAAGTGAGGCACTACCACGTTTGTTGGTTTGTTGACAGCACAGGCGTCAATACAACTCTTCTTCTACAGTTGTTTTAGTAAAATCAGACAACTCTGCGCATGTCCAAATGCTTCTAATCTAAATAAAACTTTGTGCATGTATATGCACGTCATGATCAGATTATTTGATTTTGCACCCATATAAACAGTGGATTCAGATTACCCAATCCCTCAAATTTTTAATCAAATAAAAAAAAATTTGCACATGTGAACATGGCTAATGAGGAATTGTGAGAGGTAATTTATGAATGATTTCAATTTTACTGAAACCTAATCCATCTATTCTGTACTTCACATGCACAGTAGGCTGAGTGGCTTTTGTCCTTGTCCCAATCTACAAGAACCAGGCGACAATCCGAGGCAGAGAAAATCAACCCTTAACCACATTATCATCTGACTGTACAAGAAATGCAATGTAGTGTGGTTTTAGTTGTTTCATGGTTACAGTTTCATTTTGACTAATGTAGAAAGTCAATATTATAAAGAGCATTAGAATGTACCGATTGACAAGCCCAACCAACCTGAAACAAAAGGTGGCGGTATGCAGTCCACCATTAAGAGAGTAAAACGTGGCTTTACCCGTGTGGATGTTCTTCTCGTGGACAGGTTGCCCACCTCAGCAGCTCCGCTTGATGTCTTCAATTGAAGAGTCTTAATTAAAAGCAGAACTACACAAGCTTTATCTACTAAATAGTACACCAGTATTTGCTAGAAATCCAGGGTCAGCATCTAGCGGCCCGCGGGCCAAATCAGGCATGCCAAACATGAAGTCTGGCTTCTGACATTGTTTAAAAAATACATTTAATTCATATATTCTTTGCAACAACAACTGTCACTGGTAGAGTCAAACAATTACACCACAGAACAAGGCATGAGCAGGGCTGCAGACGACGCCCACTTTTGAAACAAAGGTAGCATCTTCTTCAACAACTTAATGTAAGAACTTGCAGTTCCCCTCAGCTATTATTTTATTTGAATGTCAGATTTTTTTTTTCTACTTTTATCCGAAGGTAGTTCTCCAGGCAGTTCCTCACAAGCTCCACTCGCATGTGTACATGGAAGGAAACATCGTGAGCACACAAAATGCCAGTGCTTCAATCATGCTGTACTCTTCAGAGCAAGTCGCCCAAAAAGCGCTCACAGACGACACACTTTGGAACGTATCACTGACCAGGGCGCTTGTTTGAAAATTTATAAACGGCATCTGAAATATAACCTCATTGACAGCGTGAGCTCGTCTAACAAAAGGAGCCTCAGAGATTGCAAACAAAGGCAATGATATGTTTTGGGACGGAGTAGTCCTTAAATCTGGACCTGAAGAAGCAGCTTCTTGATGATGCCTGTCTAAACAATTTCATGACCCGAAAAGGCTTATCACAATCTTATCTATCCTTTACACAGTCAATGATTAATCAAAACGTTTTATCATATCCATGTGTCACAAAAACCTAATGAAATCACATCTGTGGTGGTTTTGGTTTTGGTCCATGTTGTGGTTCTGCCAAAGTTTGGCCCGAGGCCAAGCCTAGTTGCCAGCCCCTGTCATAAATGCATAACTTTGACATGTTTGGAGAAATAAGTTGTTAAAATATGGGGTGGCTTGCCAAATCTGTGCCACCAGGTATTTCATAATTTAATTAATAATGCTCTTTGCATCAAACAGCCTCCGTAATTTTGGCTGTGATTTTGCTACTTTAGTTTGGGTTCTAATTTAAATAGGTGTATGACATAGTTTAAAATTTCAGCAAGCCTTGAGCAGAATTGAAATCATTTATTCTTTTTGTGATGAGTTCAAAATCCACAAAGCACAACTCTTATTCTCCATAAAGGTCATATCCCCTCATGACTCGTACAAAACTGCAACCTTTGGACATGCAGCACCTTTGTCCTGCAACAACAACAGTGTCAGTAATAAACTTCAGTAGATCTTGACCTTGACCCTGCTCAGACACGCGACTCAGTAGCCCTGCAAATAACCTTTGACCTTGTGACATCATTTACCGTCCAGCTCAACCCCTTGGTTTTGTCGTGAAAGGGCTTTGAACAGACCTCCCACTTCACCTTTATTGTCTCTATTCAGACCTGATCTTGCCTCTCAATAGTACGCTGGGCCCCATCTGTGAATACTGAGGGACACACTGTATGATAGACATTGAAAGGCATTAAATACATCAACAGACAGCATCAGTCTTTCTGAAAATACCACAGGCAAAGCATAATGCCACTTGAGGCTCCTTTGATTATATTCTGGACAAGGAAGTCAAATCTAATGTCTCTGGTGGCGCCATAAAGGCCCCTCAGCCAGCTTTTCTTGTGTTTGTAGGGGCCACAGCGCCTGTCCTTAGTGACAGATCATGTAAAGTGTACATCACCGCAGAAGTCCACATTCTTTGAAACAAAAGGCGAATCGGCAATGTTAGTCATGTGTCATCTGTGGCGCCAAGGTGCCTGCACCTGGGTTGCTAACTGATCTTAACTGAAAGACTGAGAAATTCAGGAATGTTGCTACTGAGGAAAATAAAAATCTCAAGTTCATCTATACTATGATGTTCATGTAAGATACCAATCAAGTTTTTGTCGTAATTGATCCATATTTTCAGCTGTGTACATGGTTATGATGAGGAAGTGATAAAAATGTATGAGGACAATTCATGATCCCATTCCAGGGCTGAAGTACCACTGCACTGTTGGCCGTGTCTTAAATGGGATTGATCTTTCACCCTTACACTATTTTCTGAGTCGCTGATGACAAGAAGAGCACTCTGTGCCAAGAGTTAAATCTGATTCAATTCTCAAGCTGTTACACTTGGATTACTTTTGTCTTGTCTGTAAAAAATTGGTTCAGAATCAAATAAATGATCTGAGTGAACCAATAAGATTGTTTTACCTCAGCATGTCTCATCTCGTTGAAGAAAATTACCTAAGACTCAGACTAGAACTTGTGCCTTTTTTTCTGTGAAGTGGCCTGGTGTGTTTGAGGTAAACAACATTCCAGTCCATTTTCAGCCCTGGGAGGAGGGCATGAACCATTATCTACCAAAGGCTGGCCTATTCCTCCACTGTCTGTGAGCTTGAGAGGAGAGAGCTGGCAGGCAGGCAGGCCAGATAGCTGGCTTCCTGGTTTATTGGCTGGATGGCCGGCTGTTACACTCTGGTGGAGAGCAATGCCAAGAAAGTAGGCATGGAGAAGCCTCAGGGGCCAGAGAATGACAAATGAAACAAAGAAAAAGCAGCAACCTTGTAGTTTAAATTCAATTGTAAGTTTTCATTTTTATTGTAATACACATGTAACAACCAAAAGAAGTCATTTGTCTTCAGGAGGTAATGACTTTTGCTTTATGCATTTGAGCTCCATAAATCATCATTCAAGATGCAAGATACCCTGAGATCTCTGCGTTTTAAAAACTACATTAGCATTTGCAAAGGGAAAAGAAGTGCTGCAATTCAAGGACATCCTGTTTGTTTCACTTTGTCACACAGAACCTGTCCTCAAATACATAAGTACACAGACACATGAAGTGGAGTTTTAAACTACTGGAAGGTTAAGTGCAAGGTTTCAGGGTAAAATGCCAGAATGAGGTAAACACAAATGTGTTTGACAAGCAAAGAAAGTGTGTATTTATAAACCTTTAGCACCAATTTCAAACCCTGCCATCATTTTCTTTAAAACATGATCTTATTTTGAATATTTAGAGGGGCACATCTATTTTTTGCACAAAGACATATTTGCTTCTCTAGAACCCACAGCAACAACACACTGCTGGGCATGGGCCTGGTGCAACATCCTCTCTGGTCTCAACAAGTTCTGGCAGCAGACACACAAGGTTTTCTCCCACAACAACTCCATAGTTAGATACACGGCGTTCCAGGCGGCCAGCTGGCACAAAGACAAAAGTTACCAAGCGACATCCACAGACCACGACTTTGGAGCGACGAAAGCTCCAGGCGTGACACTTCTAACGCCAAAATGTGGGTGCTTACTCTGACTAATGTGAAGAGCGCCAGTCTGCATCCTGGCACAGAAGCTGGCTGTGTGTAATCACAAAACTGTGGCTCAGAGTGGACACGAAGCACTCTGGGACCAACAGTAAAGAGCAACAAAGCACTTGAATGCAGCCAAATCCCAGATGACATTGCTGCTTCTTCACAGGATGAAATTGAATCTTCTTCATGTTTACAGCTTTTGTGTTCACTCGCCAACCAGTGAGTTCAAACAATTTGATATCTTTCATTTTCATATCGGTCCAAACTAGTTATAAAGAACTCCATCACTCCTGCGGTCTTTTCTCTTTGTTCTTTTTTTAATAGGGGGAGGGTAGGTTGGCTGGAGCCCTATATTTAGTCACGATCACACACAGCAGGGTACAGATCAGCCCTGAATCATAGTGGAATTACATAAAATAGCAGCTCTTGGGTAGTGGGATCCCTAAAGAGCTTATTATATGTTGCAGAGAAGGTTGTATGGACTAAATTTAGTAGCCATGGGTAACTAGTTATTCTAATACTTTATATTACTGTAAACAAAGTACCACAGCTGGCAGTCACTCGAACGTATACTTGAGGCTGTCCGCAGGAGACAAGGAATCCCCATTTACACTTCAATTATGGGTTTTCTTTGGCAAAATTAAAGATGTTATTAGTCTGGGTCATACACAGTTTTGACCTGAATAGCTCACTCCTCTATTTCTTTACGCTGTACCCGAAGTGATTTTTTAAAAGCTTTCTCTGTTTCAGTTGCACTTGGGCTAAAAAGTCTGCATGGACCTGCATAACAGACCTGACAAAAAGATGAGCATGTTGAAGCTGTTTCACAGGAGGCTAAAGAGGAGTGTGAAAGGCTAATCCGTATTTAAACTCACCCATATAATGCTACAAAGTTGGGCTTTGCAAGGTTTTGTAACTTGAATTATTTAAATGTTGACATGACCCATGGAAATGTTTTCTGCCTTATCTGAACAATTTGTTTAGGGAATACGGAGACACCGGACCCGAACCTGTCATCAGGTTGTGTTGTTCTATTATGACAGTATTCAAGGAGCTTATATGGCAGCCCTGTCAAAGAAACACCATCCCAGAAGCTGGCCAGTCTGCTTTTTTCCCCTTTTTTTCTTTTGGTTGATTTACTATGCCTGTGAACAGCTATTTTCAATTTCTAAAGATGGAGGGCCCAACATACTTACCAGCTGGGTATCAATTCAATCTTCCATGTAAACATTTCTGCCAGATTAAAACTGGCCCACGTTGTGCGCATGCTACAAAGATTCTACGCCAGGGTCTGACCAAGATGTTGAAGAGCATAAAGACGTTGTTTAGATGCTTGATTGTAAAAACCCCAACAGAA